GGCGCCGTTCGGTCGACGACCCGTTGTTTGCGAGAACTTCCGCTACCGAAACTGATGCGATTCGACTGCACCGAATTCCGCACGATCGCGTGATGCAGGGGTTGTCACTAGCCGGGAATCAAAAACGGTATCTGAGGGTTTTTTTTTTCAGAATTTGTACAGTTACTTGCAACAATCAGATTAAGCAATAGAGACAAGTAGTACAAGACAAGTGTTAAATTATACGACTTTGTAGAGCTGATGCGACTTTCTAGACCTATGCCTGATTGTAAAATTCTACGTCTATCACCATCGTCCATCAACAACCATCAACTACCTAATATGATATTCTATGTAGGCAATTTTAGATTCATTGTCATCTAGGTTACATTACCTCAGGAACGCCCCTAGCAGATTTTCTAGCCACACTTGGGGGTGCCATAAGCCTCATTGCTTAAATTTTAAGGTTGAGATTATCATCATCATCAGTCTTTCCCATTACATGCTATGTTAGTTACTAGATCTTCGGTTTGTCGCTGCTGCTAGAACTGGCCGCAGTCTACCGCAGCAGATGTCGATACATTCATCACTGTGATAAAAACAGTCAGGATAGAAACGTAAGTACATCCTCGCAGCAGTGGCTAAACAGTATATGACAAACTGTAAGCTAAAATGCTGATTTATAAAACTGACTAGTCGTAAAAATTTCCGTTTGAATTAATAGCCAAATAGTGATATCTCCTTAGAAACTTCTATTCAGCTAACTCTTAGTAGCTTAAACGAATGTCATGTCAGTGGGTATGTACATTTATCCAGGCGTAGGCGTTGCTACATGGCGCACTATTGTAGTATACATGAAGGTTAACTAGAGAACGTTAACACAGCCTATGAATTTTAAGGATAAAATCCCTAAAGTACCTGTACTATTGAAAAGTAATTGAAGCAAAAATTTTAACAAATTGTTTTAGCATTAATTGGTTTTCTGTGTTACGTTATTGGTACCTCATGGAAAAATACTCCAAAGATGTAATATAATATGAACTAATATTACGCAACGCCCTCCGCTCCACGATTTTCCAATAACCACTGAAGCCTTATTACGAAATTGTTCGGTAAAATGCTTTCTCAAATAATACTGTTGCTAGCCCTATTGTCACCCCTCTCCCGACCTATCCCATTGAGCTATACCCACCCGGTGGCCCAGGGTACTGCGCGGTAAGCTTTGGGTGCTTTTAAATGTCAAAGTGCAGCTTAAAGCTCGATATTGTGCATCGAACCATCCCTTTGATATTTCTCAAAGAAGCTTCCTCTTTAAAATAGACACGTGAAAAACGGTAGGTTTAAAATCTTAACGCATTCATGAAAAACTAGTAAGTACCTATCAACTTCACCTGCCGCTCCGTACTATTACTAGTACATAATATTGTAATTTGATAAATCATAAAATATGTAGGTAAGTAAGGTATTCAAGTTTTTCAACAATTTTGGAAAAACAATAAATTACACAAACACATAGTAAGAACACACAGGCTACAAATTTATTAGGGGCATATTATTATGCCTTAAGTTTAAAATGAGTTTTATCAGCGAATCGTTTCAATAACATGAAAATAAATTGCACAATTTAAAGTGTATCTAGTCTACCTTAAAAGCAACAAAAACACCAAAAGAGCTCAAGAGATAAAGTAATAAGAATAACTGGAATATGCTCGTCATATCTACATGAGCAACTCCAAAAAGGAACTGAAGTTTAAAGAAAATTTCAACAAAGTAATTCTTGACTGTCTACACTCTGCCGAGGAAGTAATATTTTCTCAATTATCTTAGCTGCCAAGAAACGTTTACTGACATTAAAATATAAGCCTTTTAAATATAAATTAAGTCTATTCAAGCTCTTTTCTTTTACTCAACAGGAAAAAGGAGCGTAATGTTTTTGGTGGCTTAACTTGACAATTTTATAAGGATAATTTTAAACGTACTTTTCTTTTCCTTTCCCTAAAGTGGCTGAATTTACAAAACGTTACCGTTTTTATAATAATTAAGTACCTAAGTTTTACTATATACGATTACAGAAGTAAAAATGTAAACTAGTCATTCGATACGTGAAGGTATTAAGTAAGATTCACCTCTCATGTCCTATAAAACCAAGTCTCGATCGCTAATAAAACACAAACAGTAAATGCAGAGTTAATTCCGAAGGAAAGTTTACCTGACTTGCCGCGCAAATAACTCAAAATAAAGGAAAATAGTAAAAGCTCGAGGCAAAGAAAAGACTCTTCTGTATAAAGTTTCCTGCATTTCTTGCTCTGCTTCTTCTAAGCACAGGCCCATTTAAGGTCCCGAAGTAGTGGTAGGGTTAATACGGGACGTGTAAAAGTGCTTTTTAAAAGCCTACTTACAAAATTAAAATCAGTTTTATGAGAATGAGTTTTTTTAGTTTTAAAGAGGATAAGAAATAATCTAGTGCTATATAAGCATTTTATTAAATAAATGTAAAAGATAGTGATGCAAACAAACCGAATCAAAGAGAAATATATGAATTATAAAACAAAATTAAATAGAAACCTTCTACTTATAATGAAAATTCTTTTAACGAAGTATTCGTAAGAATACTTTCAGAACGAAATATATTTATTTATTTAATGTGAAAGGTCGCTGTTCGTACAAATGTATATGTTTAACATTATGGAGAATGCTACCGCCTACGCTGTGTTATTTTATCTCTCGCTTTTAATTAAATGTAACTTGTAGAAGATTATGTTTCACTGTCTTGATTGGATATTCTGTGGCAGCTGTTATATTTTGAAATTGAAATTTATTTTCTATACTAATATTGTTCTCGTGGTACAAATAAACAAATCCATTTTTAGGTAAATGCTGGGTTAAATTCTGTTTGTAAATACATACTGGTAAATCAGATTAATTATGCAAGCTGTTACTTAAATCTACTACTTATATCTTTATTTATAACTTGTTACGCATTGTCTCTATTATTTATACTATGTTGTTATTACACAACATCACTTTACCGTAGCAAAATACATTTAAAAACAAATGTAAAAAGGTCGATTTATTTCTATGCAATTCGAGAAAAAGAATTAGTATTTATCCATCTACGTACTCATACTTTCCTAGATATAACCACTAACTCAGCTTTTTCGCCTTGGTGCATAAAATAGACGAAAAAGCTCATTGTACTTAGTGGTGTAGAATTTGAACTTGATTTGATGTAACCGGCCACCACAAAAACCAAGATAACTAACTGTATTTAAAATACTTAACTACTTGTAGTAATAGATAGGTTGATCTTGCAATAACTTTGGACAAATTAAAATAGATGATTCTACTGTAACATCTTTTTGTATGAGGAACTGATTTTCTAAGTCGAAAGACTGATATAATGAGTATTACTTTATGATTTTACCTAATTGAGGATTTTGTTATTGCACTCAGTATAATTCTTCTAAAGGCCATGATCTATGAAATTGGCCAAAAAATGCTAAAAACATTATCTCTACACAAACTAGAGCTTTCAAAAGCACTATAATTCACTACATAAAAGACAATTAGCCTTGGGGCAGGTCAGGAATTAAATTACTTTAATTACCTAATTGTAAAATAGTTGCAGTCTTTAAATTAAGCTTGGCTTTGTGCTTTGCTCCCTCCGTGCGCTTGTATTTGACAGACAACGCTACCCTCAGTAGCACATTAAACTACACATTTTGGTGCCAAAGTCACCCCTGCTACAACGAAATAAGGTGCTACAGTGTTATCCTTGATGTGCCGTCGTCCGTACGTAGCGAATTTTCCTTTGAATAAATTATATTTTCTTCGTAGAATGTGTGCTCGTTATCGCGAGAATTAGCAAAGTACTAGGTACTAATAAAGTATAAAGGCTTTCAGGAATGCCAAGTGAAGTTGGGTAAAGTTTGGGTAATTTAGCTTTTTATTAATAGACTTTTGGCTAAAATTAATTACTTTTAGTCCTAACTTGAGAAATCAGATTAATTTATGCAAGCTCTTACTTAAGAGTAGGCGCACACCGTTGATTTTTAGTTGACCAATAGTTGTGCCCGATTTTAAATTGTATGAAGAATCGGCCAAATCGAATCGGCGTAGTGTGCGCACTCTCATACATGCCCATACTGATCAACTGCCCGACTAAACTATCGGCCGACGAAAAATCAACGGTGTGCGCCTACTCTTAATCTACTATATCTTTATTTATAACTTGTTACGCATTGTCTCTATATTTATACTATGTTGTTATTACACAACATCACTTTACCGTAGCATAACATTAAGTAACATTGAACTTGAATTGGATACTATGATAGGACGTAATATGATGACATTAGCTGTCTATTGCAGCCAGCTCAGTCTATAGTTAGCCGCTTGCTCCGACTACCGTGCTATTACAGGAGGTGGGTGATAATAGTACCAACTTCCACCCTACTCTGACCTTTATCTAAACTATATTACGTCACATTTTTATCTGTGCAAGCTTTCGTGGGTAATCCTGGACAACTGTGCGATAAGCTGTTGCTTTAATCGCCGCCCAAAATCGACATTATCAAACGACAAGTTAATAACGTCAATGTTATTAAGTAATATTTCATAAACACCCACATAAAGGTTCTCTTTATTTTAATAAATTCGTAATCCCTACGGTAACCCTTCACGCCCACGACTTGTAGTGGATTTCATTTTGAATGATTTAGGTGTTAGATCTTACATGAGCACTTAATTCTAATTTGCTGTTTCAGAGTTTCAAATTGAAAACGATCTCAAAATTCGAGCCCCAATCGACAGGTTAACTTAAAGTCTGAGCGAGCAGTGTCACAGTTTTGCAAGATGAATAATCTGTGGACACGATCGATAGAGAGTGCGCGGGGTTTGGGGGTAAGGGGTGGCGTGGGGGTTCCTAGGGGTAGCTGGGGGGACGTTCATTCAACGTGTAGGCGGCGCGCGTGGGCGACACTCTTATATAGCCCTCCAGGGCGCCCTCCCCACGCAGTCGTGGCTCGGCAGTCCCTCAGATACGACGGTCAGTGAAATAAATGTGCAACATGTACTTCTCGAGCTTAAGGTAGGTTCAACTATTAATTATTTAGTTGCATAGCGACTGAGTCGAATCGATAGATTTTGTGTTTAGATAAATCTTTTTTGGGTGCATTTTTGAGATCATTTATTGGTTAATTAATTAAATTAAACACCCAGTTCAATCTCAAATTTTGGGGTTCATTATTTTTCAAATAATCTTTTCTATTTTATTGTACGTATGATAGCGTTTTTGAAAACTTACTGTACTATAAGTTCAGTTTTCTCTTTGTTTCTAAAATAAATAGGTGCTAAAGTAATGAATATTTCAAAGTACTTAAAAATATGTTTTTGTTATAGGCTGATGGCAGTTTTGCTTGGCTATTTAGTAGCGCAAGTTAAAACATATCCTATACAAGGATGGCCGATGTATCCCCAAACGGCTAGAGAATATCCCGACGATGATTACTACTACGCCCCAAAAATACAGTATTACTATGATGCCCCGGCAATGAGCATGCCTGAAGTTTACGGGCAAATTCAGTACCCTTATTTCTATGATCCCTATGGCCATTTTGCGTCGAATGAGGCGCCAAAAAGGCAAGAGGAAAGACTAGCCGCATTGCCTATCGGACAAGAAACGTGGTTTGAGAACGACAACGCGGGCCGATGGCGATCCAACGACGTCGATGACGTCAGTGCGGCCTTTTTAGATAATTTGATCCTTACCCAAATGGCTCAGGACGCGCAGAGGCGACGCGAGAATGCCCGCGCAGCGTTCCCGCCTGTTGATTACGATGAGGAGCGGGACACCGAGGACGAAGATGTCCGAGAATTGAAGGCCTTAGCCGGCAAGCCCTTATACCACGTACCGAAAACGGTTCCTAGGATCGATGACGAGGACTACCCCGCCGACGACGGCTTCATCAACTGGAACGGCAACAAGCGCAGCGTCACCACCGCAGCGCCTGCAGCCAGCACGGCCGCACCTGAACTGGGCCAGAAAGAAAAGGTCCTACCGCGACCAACTCAAAATTCCCATCAACATCATCGCGCAGACAACAAAAGAGACCCATCATTCTACAAAACCATCGCCAAATTACTTTCGAAGAACTCCGAAACTTCAGAGACTCAGGTCAGTAATCTTTATTAATACTTATAATCTTAAATCTTGAGGTACTTTTAATACAACCTTACTATAATAAAGACTATAAGTATAAGCCTTGCTGAAATGTTTTCAACTCTAAGTCCGTGGAAACCCCGAAGTCTAAAAATAGCATGGCTGGGCTGGGGGTGGCGGGTGACACAGCGGGCCCAGAGGCCGGGTCAATCGAAGTGTGGGGAGAATATCAGAACTAAATAACACCTAAATCTGTTCTCTCTTTCCACAAATATTTTTTACTTGCGTTTATTTATAGATATTGTCATCGAAATAACGTCAGTTTGTTTTTGGGTACAGGAATCACCGAAAGCGAGGAGGATCGATAAACGCTTCGTGGCCGGAGACAGCGACCTCGTGCTCGAGCTGCGGGGGCTGAAGCATCGCATCGCGACTTAAACTGATGCTAATGACTACCGCCAACTACCTATGAGACTGAGTATTATATAGACTAAATAGATATCGACAACGGCGACCTCAAACGAAATAGTCGCTACATCAATTAAAATTCCAAAAAAATTAGAGCTCTACGTCTATCGCAAATAATCTCCACATTCCGTCGCCCGCGTACGAGACCTTTGCCACGTGTTTTACTCAAAGCTGTAGCAGTACGTCGGGGTCTTTTTCGATTCTTTATAATAACTTCAATGACATAGAACTAGAATTAAATTGTGGAACCGCGTCGAGGTGACGAGTAGGGGTGAAAATGATCGTACAAAATGTGACTATAATCTCCATGAAAAGAGTTGTTGATTGTATATGCATGATAGTTTTATATTAGGTATTTTAATCGATAAGGATTATGAACAAGAAAGTTGTTCCCTTCGATTGGCAGCTATTATATCGCACGAGGTAATGTGCAACTGTAAATATTGTAGAATTGATTGTCTAAGACGTAATTATTTAGATAGAAATTAATTAATCAAAATTGTGGAAATACCATCAATATTTCACTTTTACAAAAACGTCTCGGGTTTCTCATCACTTTTATACTTAGTTAAGTTTTTGTTTTAACTATGTATTAAATTAGGAACATCTTTCTATTTTGAAAGTCAAAGTTTTTACGGCTTAATCATTACTTGTATAAATAGTTAATTGAAGAAAACTTTATAAAACTAGTTTGACGTGATCTCATTTCACTATTTATATTTATTGAGCCTAAACTTGTATGACTGTGCATTGCTTTTTGTTCCATATTTTCTTGGCCTAACTTTTACTCAGGTGCTACTGTTTATTTTTTACTAAAATTATATGTTAACGCAGACAATACCATGAGATCTTTTTGCATAGCAAAAATTTAAACATAGTATTTAACCTATCTGTAAGGAAAGGAATAAGATTCTCTCGGGAAACAGAGGATTAGGTGATATCTTAGCTTTACAGCTTCTTACCTACTTAATGTCTTGGATGTAACATTGGCCTGAGAGGCCTATTCTTGGGAATTACACGTGATTGCGTCCTATTATCTTTTCATCAAATAACAAACAGCTTTAGCTTTTTTAACTAGTAACTAAGAATTTTGTCGAATTTGCTACCTTAAACATATTTTTGAAAACATTACAATTCACCATTAAAATGTAGGTTACATTATCTTTCGAAGTACATATCTGTTTATAAATAAAGTCAAATTACTCACTCTTCTGTGTTTTTAAAATCTACCCAAAACTATGTGGATTAGTTTGTACCTTATAGTATAATTAGTACAGCCTGTAAAGTGTTACTAATGGATGTTAATGTTACTGTCGATAATATTACAATATAATAAAATGTACATTATTTAAATAATAGTCGTGAATGTTAACTCTTCTTTTAAAATGGTACGCATTTTCGTCTAAGTATCAGTACCTATACCTATGAGTATTAAACCTTGTACCTAGATACTATGTTTCTTAAAAAATGCCTACTTCAACCACATAGGCAATAGCGGTTCAAGCAGGCCATTATAGATTTATGTTAGCTTTTATCTTATTTTACGCACAAAATAGTATTTCCTACTTCTAAAAGTTGCTCAGAAAATAAGATAGGTAGGACCTACTACTTACATAAAAACGTTCTATCCGTTTTGACATATTATATTTTGTAAGAATAGAAATCAACTGTATTTTATTACATATAACTTTTCTTTAAAATAATATTCATTGTACCTATTTGATACAAATTCGTATCTTAGAATACTGTAAGAATGTTGTATCTACAAACGTACCTAATAATGGAAAAAGAACAAAAATAAAAGACGAATGAAAGCATACTTATTGTTTTACTATTCCCTTTTACTGTGTAATAAAATTCAATAATTTTTCTTTATGAGTTTAACAAAGTTATCGCCTGAAAACAATTTCTATAAAATCTATTTTCAATGTGACTCTATTATAGCAATCTATAATAAAGCATCATCAGTTGTTTGATAAGGCACTTCCAAAAAGTAACAATCTTATTTTTAAGATGGCAATAATGACTTAAGATTCCCTTTTTGCAACTAGAATAAACATATTAAATACACAAAAAAAGTCTTTATTACTGAAATAAGTTACCTACAGGGAGTTACATACAAGATCATCAAATGGAAAGATACTTTTGCTCTACAAAGTGATCGTAGAAATGTTTGATGTTAATCGATGTGTCACCGTTTTGAATAGGTAGTATGATAAAAAATTATAACAAAAGTAACTGACTAACACACAATTCAATCACGATTTTCTTATTAATAAGATACAATATCGAAATGTATGTTCTGCAAGTCTTAGTGCCCGTGCTGTTAATGTCAGCTCCTGAATCGTTAAGCTACTGCATACTGAGAGGAGTCATAAAATGGGATGCAGCAGCGTAGTTGAACATACTTCGTCTAAAACGTTGGTTCCCAAAGTGGGGGCGCAAAGACCTTTAAGGGGGGCGCGGGCCATCTGTGTACTTATGTATAAAAAACCTGCGACCGCTGCGAGAATGCATTCCAGACTGCTCGATACGACCAATAAATAACTGGACTGGAGAAGGGGGGGGCGCGGAATTTTTTGTATGGTAGAAAGGGGGCGCGTCTCAAATAAGTTTGGGAACCAGTGGTCTAAAATCACTAAAGCTAACGTAAAAGAAGCATTTATAAAAAGCTATCGTTTATTTAGTTGCTATAAGTATAAGAATCTTTATTTACAATGAACAGATTTTTTTAAACTAAGGCAAACTTAACTCTAAACAAAATAAAAATATAAACTTATTTTACTCTAAAATAAAAGTGTGTCCGTGAGGCAAAGAGGCGAGGATGCTGGCTGCATTTCCTCGCTGAATGGCAATACTAAGCCTTAGATAATTATAAGTACCTATTAGATATTCAAAATATTACGCCTACATAGCTTTCCACAGTTAGAACAAGAAGTTTTCATACAAGTACCTATTTGCTTGTGACTTTTACTGTGCTTTTACGCTCTCACTCGAGCACTCACATAAGTACTCGACGCTACTGTTTAAAACAATTATGCACATTGTCCTCCGTGAATTCTGGTAGTCACTTATTGCAATACAACGCAAGATGCATCTGATCTACAACTAGTCTAAAAAAAATTTGATGTGGGACTGAAGCACAGCAGCTAGTACCTAGGTATTATTATTTTCAGCGCCAGCCGATAATGTCGTCCTGAAGACGTAGGGCATGCTAAATTTGGGGCGTGTCCCTGTCCTGAAAAAAGGCCTATACATACAAAGAATTTATATTTAATTTGTTTGACTTATTAAACTCTACTATTTGATCGAATATGTGAAAATCTTAAACGAATGTACTATTGGTACCTACTTTAGACCGATATTTCTCAGATTCGGAACGGGTGCATAATATGAGCGATCGCTTTTTTTTGCAATAAGGCTTGGCACCCAACATGTACCTAGTTAGTTGTAGGTACTAACTTGTGTTTGTGTCAACACAAACAGTGTGCGAATAAACATCATAATTCCGAATTCTCCGAACATCTCAATGTATGAATTCTTTCAAAAGAACATGTAAAATCGGCATTAAGATACTAATCGTAGTAGTTTTTAGGTAATTTAATAAATAAGACACAGTAAATAACCCAAGTCGATTCATGTAAAAATTCACAATTAAAATAAAAATAAATGTACTTATCTAGACAGAATAAAGAAAGCCTCAAATTGTGTAGGTGTCGCTTAAAACCGAAAAAATATTCGTATTGCTGTAAAAGCATGTATATTATTGAATCACTCGAAAATTTGATAATTGGATTTGTTAAAGCTATAATTTTTGTTACATTAATTTTTATCATCTTTATCGATGATGGCTAATCAAAGCTGAGGCTGAATGTGATCCCAACTAATATTATAAATGCGAAAGTAACTCTGTCTGTCTGTCTGTCTGTCTGTTACGCTTTCCCGCTTAAACCTCGCAACCGATTTTGATGAAATTTGGCATAGAGATAGTTTGAGTCCCGGGAAAGAACATAGGATAGTTTTTATCCCGGTTTTTGAAACAGGGACGCGCGCGATAAAGTTTTTCTGTGACAGACAAAATTCCACGCGGGCGAAGCCGCGGGCGGAAAGCTAGTACTCTATAAAAATATTTTAATTTAAATATTATCTACAAATACATACCTATAAATTACTAGCGGCCGCACGCGACTCAGTGCGCGTGGATCCCGTTTTATCCCCTTAACCCTTTAACTGGTATAGAGAAAAATATTTTTCGTTAGTTTTGTACCTTATGTTTTCTCAATAAGGTTCAAAATATGGTGGCAACAGTTCTGCCACTACCAGGTAAAGGTACCCTTACCCTTAAGGGTGGAGTTTCGTAAAATCCGTTCTTAGTGAGCACCTATGTTCTAAAAGGAACCGCCATGCAAAATTTAAGACTCTTAGCACTTGTAGTTTCTGAGATTTCGTGATGTCAGTCAATCAGTGACCTTTCGCTTTTATAGAAATAGATTTAAACCTAATTAATGTCTTTGGCGATCAATAAACACTTCTAATTAGTAAAACTTACGTTGATCCTTTACACAACTTAAGATAAATAGAAACCTGGCTCCCGTATATTACTTCGATATGAAACTCTACAGCGGACACTTCAAGGACTTTCTCGACAAGCCTTCGTAACTAATTTAGCTAAGGGTCCTCTAATAACACCCCCAATAGACACTGGCTCGTGTTTAACCTTTGACCTTTCAGAGCAGAATTCTATCAAAAAATAAGCAAGTAGCAACTCGCCCACGTCGCCTTATTCTTCTACAGGCTTGTTAGTATAACTCCAAAGGCAACCTTTACCTCTAATTAATTATTTCAATTTGTTCTAATAAAGCTTATTTTTAAGTGGATTATCTGCCTACGCGCCTCATTATTTGCGGTATGTACCTAGGTAACGCCATTTTCAATGCCTTGTTGTAAGTAGGTATTCTAATTAAGGACGAATACATAATATTCATGTTTAAAACCGATTAAAAAATAAACTAATAATTTGATTGATCGTAGCGTGGGCAGGCCTCCCACTAGGTGGACCGACGATCTGGTGAAGGTCGGGGGAGGTGCCTGGATGCGAGCGGCGCAGGACCGGTCTTTGTGTAAATCCTTGGGGGAGGCCTTTGTCCAGCAGTGGACGTCTTTCGGCTGAAACGAACGAATTTAATTGAATAATTTATTTCATTGAGTTATTTGGTGTAGTGGTTCGAAACGGACTACTATTCCGGAGGTAGCGGGTTCGATTCCCGCACAGTACAAACATTTGTGTGCATGAACATATTTGTTTGTATTGGACTGGGTGTTTTCTATGTATAATAAGTATGTATTTACAAAAAAAAAAAAAAAAAAAAAATTTAACCCTTCATATGGCAAGACTTTAAAAGTATTAATATGAAGTAATCGCGAAAATATAGTGTTCCTAGGTGATAAAATAAAATGTAAAAAATATTNTATTTATTTATTTAACTTGATCTCAGCAGATCATAGAAGACTGAGAACTTGATTGGCTTAAAAAAGCTTGTACCCAAAGCCGTGAATTTATTAATGTGATGATATTTAAAAAAAAATACGTTAATTAATCTGTGGTACGTCAGTAAAATGACGTACGTCAATTAATAGTGTTGGCTGTAAGAATCAAACACGTCACAATCGTCAATTGTTTAATCGATTATATAATCTAGGAAGAACAATTTTGAACTTTATTAATAATTTGCCCTGTACTTTTTAACTACCTATCAAAATGTTATATTCGTTAGTATGGTTATGCATACAAATAAAACATGATAATAGTTAACACAAAAAAGGAGACAAGTTAACGAAAACAGAAAAAGCATGTGAAGTAGTAGAACCAATATTACTGGTTTTATAAAACTTCTCACACACTCTCACTAGGTACACTTTGAGTAGATTTTTGTCATGTAGGTACTAAAGAGTGATTCTATCTAAAAATGTTTTTTTTTTTATTATAATGATGGTAAATAATGTATTGTCAAAGCTATTATTAATTTTAAACTTTCCTTCATCGCGTTTGTTTGTAGGTTCAATACCTAATCGCTAAAGCGTAAAAACAAAATTATGTAGGTAAGAAACGCTGAACACTACGAGTTACGACAGCAAAGACCGAAAATTATTATTTCACTCTCAAAACTTCGTGACTTTCTTGGTGTGAATGTAGAATTCGATGCTAGTAAATAACAATCGATTCAAACTTAGTATCGATGCCAATCGAATGACTGACAGCACTACTGTCAAATGAGAAAGTTTTTTATTTACAATGATGAACGGAATTTGTCGGCTCGTTTTGTTTTTAATTAACTAAAATGTTTATTTAGGACCATTCAAAATAATGATATGTGTTCCGCTTAGATACCTTAATGTGTTCAACAAGAAAGTTCCCGGATAATAAATAGAAAATCGAAATTATAGAAAAACAAGCTCCCGTTACTTCGTTACGGTATTCCACGTCAGAGAAACTTTGTTAAGTTTCTAAAATGCGGCGAGCAAAAGGATATCAGGACTTAGATGATAGTGCGGTGGTGCCTCGGGCTCCCGCACCACCTATGCCACCTCCTCAGGAAATAGAAATGGCATCAGTGTCTGTTGTCCCTGACGGTAAGGTTTTTCAATTTTTACTTACGAATATATTTATTACTTGGTAAACAGATGAACAATACACTAAAACACAATGTAATTAAGTTCCTTTTTCAGTGTACATAATATTATGTGGTGAATTACTACTATTTTCAGATACATTCACCGTGACACAAGCAGTGAACGCCCTGGGTTTTGGTTGGTTTCAAGTGAAGTTGTCTCTATGCACGGGTTTATGCTGGATGGCAGATTCCATGGAAATGACAATATTAAGCATATTATCTCCAGCTCTGCATTGTGAATGGAATATTAGCAAGTATGTTCATTTCAGTTAGATATTTACGTTTATTCCCTTGATCTCTTGGTGTTGTAAGTTTTTTTTTTTATTATTATTTTTATTTTAATTAATTTTAGGTATCAACAAGCTTTAACAACAACAGTAGTCTTCATGGGAATGATGTTAAGTTCAACATTTTGGGGCAACATCAGTGACCGCTATGGAAGAAAGACTGTTAGTTTTATTTTATTTCTTTATTTATTTTGTACCTTGATGCATATTACATAATTTGTTTGCTTAATTTCAAACTAAGAATTTTTAGTCTTTTTATTTAATTTTTATTTATAGTAATAAAATATAATATTACAGGCTCTCAGCATGTGTGGAGTTTTGCTGTTTTACTATGGTTTATTGAGTGCTATTGCACCAAATTTTCTATGGCTGTTGTTTCTAAGAGGACTAGTTGGATTTGCAATTGGCTGTGTACCACAATCGTAAGTAGAATAAAATGTAGTTATTATTTATGTAAAATGTTGTGTTAGTTAAATAATAAAAAAAAATCATTTAAAATTAATGCACTGGGAGCTTGTAAAACCTAACTAGGTCAATTTAAGGCAGTGAGCTAAATACCAGTTAAAACAACCTTCTATTCTTCTTACAAACATCAATAAAATTATGAATTAGTAGCAATAATAACGAACATGCAATGTTGAGTGATCAATGATATTACTTCAAATAATTGCCAATTAATTAAACATTTTATGAAAATGCATGTTTTCAAGAATTTGACGCAAACATTTCAAATGACAAATGGCTTTATTAATCTAAGCAAATAGCATGTTACTGTATTGTCACTGAGTATAAAATGGGTACATGTCTTAATCAATGTAAAGCTAAATGTTCATACATACTATAGCCTGACCAGGAACATAAAAACCCTGGCATAGAGGCGCGTCAATTGCATTTGATAGTGCAACACTGAGTACAGTCGTACCTGTGTTAAATTAATAGGCTAACTTTATGTATCAGGATTCAGAATTACGGGCTAATTTGATATTTTCCTAAATTAACGAAAAAATATTATTATAGGTAACCTGGTTTAAATAAATTAAATGAAACCATCAATCGAGCTAGTAGGATTTATTTTATTATTCATCAATAATCAAATTCAGAACTTGAATATTCAACTGCAATGTTTGCTCATGAACACTTCAAACTCGGTACTTCTTTAGATATACCAATTCCATAAAATTCAACACTTAGAAAGTGACAATTTTTTTTAAAATAGGTAGTTGAAACAAACCACAGCTAATTTTCATAGTGGACTGTACTATGCGATAAACATGTCAGTCAATTTGACAACCTTTGTCGGAAACATTATTCAATGAAAATATTATCCGAAACCTTACTATTTCTCTTCGACAAATACTTTAACACATTGTGAACCACTTTTCTTTCACGACTATAAAAAGATTTTTGCAATTTAATTCACAAAATCAATTGCGCACATTTAAAATAAAGTTTGTTTACACTTTGACAGCAATAGACTGACATGCAAGGTGACATGTCAATGAAGTTTTCAGTTACTGTTGCCATTAAAAGAAATTAGTACCATTAGTTTTCCGCAACATGGCGAGGGTTTTTATGTTCCTGGTCGGGCTATACATTATGTACCTACTTAAATTGTATAATATTAGAAACTGAACGATTTAATTTTGTTTCAAGTATGTAGGCTACTTTTTTCCTGTAATAAACTGTTTCTTTAGTCTACAAAAACTTTCTCAATTTCAGAGTCACTCTCTATGCAGAATTTTTACCAACTAAACAAAGAGCAAAATGTGTGGTACTGTTGGATGTAAGTATTATACTTAAGTCAAATATTCATGTTCTATTTGCTCAATATGTTAAAAATGTATCCCCGGTTTCTGAATTGAGAGCTTGTGCATACTCATCTTCTAACTTCTTCTTGGGTATAAACTTTTCGTGTTAAGTGCATACTAAGTAATTAATGAGCAACAATATTTCATTCACCCTTTAGTATATTTTTCGGATATTGCTGGCCTATCTGTGTTTAGGAATGAAATCTAACAAATAAGTTGACAAGAGTTACTTTCTTATATCAACAATCAACAATACCTTTTAACTCACCCTATTTTTTTGGTATTTTTTTCAGTGTTTTTGGGCCCTCGGAGCTTGCTTGGAGGTGGCCCTGGCTCTGGTGGTGATGCCCACTCTAGGAGTTCATTGGCTGCTTGCCCTGTCTACCATTCCGCTGCTGATATTTGCTCTCATATGCCCTGTAAGTATTTACTAGACACTACACCCGATTACGCAATATTCATTCATCATCATCATGATTTAGAAATAACAAAATATTTATTTGTCTCAAAATAGCTATAAGACGTTTACTGCTGAACATAGGCCTCCCCAATTATATTACAGAACTATAGATATGTTACGTTCATAGAAATTACGATTTTAATCCGTGCCGAGCTATTCCAAATTGCACACATTGACAAATGTAACTGATAAGTGAAACAAAAGATACGAAATAGCACGCAAATGAAAGAGATAGCTATAGTTTTAACGATTCTGCACTAACTTATCTATGTCCGCAGCGCACGCATCCTTATCGCTCTAACGTCAAAACAAGATCGCTTTCTCTTTCTTAACTTGAACATGGCGCATGGCGTCTTGATTGTTTGCATAAATAATTGAAAATATAAATACTAAATAATTTTGCATAATCACATGTGGTAAGAGATCCCTTGTATTTTGTTTACTTTAGAGTCATAATTGGTACACTTTCGAAACACACACGATGGCATTTTTTATTTATTTTGGTAAGAACACNAAATTGGTGTATATTAATATAAATAACAATTTTTGGACGATTTACCCTAAATAACCTGAAATAATGATTCCTCATAGTGTAATTACTTATGTTTGTTTTACAACTTTTTCTAAAATTGAAGAAACAAAAAATTATCAACAGAAATGGTGGAAAATGTATCACTTTACACTTGTTAGCGTGTGGTTAATTCAGTGTGGTGTAAAATGATTTATATCTCATTACATCACTTTACACGAATGTAAAGTTGTCGTGCATGGTGATATAACTAGGTTTTTATTTAATTACGAAAAAACCACATGCTATATTTCCCAAACTGGCACACTGCCTAATTATATCTAACATTACCTTTCACCTAAAAAATATTTCACCAAGTTATCTTTAATAGCGACGAAGCAGGATTTTTTTTAACTTCAAATGCGATTTCCCAAAAATCATCATTTTCGACTTAACTCCCTTTTCACTGGGGGTACAGAGTTTTCCTCAAAGAATGTTCATTCAAAATGCCTGCATTGTTCACTAGAATATCAATACTAGGACATTTGCTAACAATGTCATCGTAGACTTTGTCCAAATCTTTGGTGACATCACATTTAATGAACACAGCTCTTACGTCCCCGTATTTTGAGTTAAGTGTTTTCGCTGTTTCAGTACCTTGATTCTCTTGAGATCAACAATGAAAACAATTTTAGCTCCTTGGTTGAGAAACTCTTCAGCTATTGCATAGCCAATTCCTTTAGCACCTCCAGTTACGACTGCAATCTTATTCTTTATTTCGGCACCCATTGGTACGACACGTCTATTATTATAAAATGGCTATTTAGTTTCCTTTATTTTATTTTACCATTGGCAAGTTACTTATCTTATCAGGCGATAAAACGATCCGATGTGAGTAATTAGTGGGAGAAATTTTTATCGTTATTATATTTTTTATCTTGTGTTGGCATTGTTGGCGTATACATTTATTAAGATACATAAATGCAATTGTCTATAAATATAACACTATGTTGATAACGTTAAGCATTATTGTTTCCTTAAGAATACTACTTCTCATGATTTGTTTCGTAAACTAATTTCATTACTAGGTACATTATTATAAAACAAAGTCACTTTCCTGTCTGTCCCTATGTGTGCTTAGATCTTTGAAACTACATAACGGATTTTGATGCGGTTTTTTTATTAGATAGAGTGATTTAAGAGGAAGGTTTTTATGTATAAATGTACTTGTATAAACCAGGGGCGGGTCGCTAGTATAAAATATATAAATTACTAGCGGCCGCCCGCGACTTCGTACGCGTGGATCCCGTTTTACCCCCTTTTCCCGAATTTTCTTTGCTATAAACCTCACGGAGCCCGAGACCTTTCCAACGAATGCAAAACCGTGGAAATCGGTTGGTGCGTTCTGGAGTTATAGTGTCAGGGAGGAAAACCCGACTTATTTTTATATAGTAGATTAATAAGTTACTTTGTGTTTGGGGAACAATTTAATTTTTTTTGCCACCTTCACCATGGAATTTTTAGGGAAACTTTCCTTTAATTTGATCAGTCATTATAATTAATTGAAAAATGAAGGAATCTTTTTAGGAATTCAAAGATATAAATTCAATAAATGTTTAGGTACCTAAAAATGGCTTATTATCTATTTCTAAAATAATCAAAGAATTGAATTCTTTTTACTTTAAAACATCATAATTTATGTTCATTTAATCATACATTTTCAAACAACTGGCCAAGTGCGTGTCGTGCCACACGCAGTGTAGGGTAGGGTTCCGTAGTTGCCCGTTGTTTAAACAAGCAATTTCTTCATCTTTATCATTTTTAATGTTTTCTTGTATGGACATTTTATTAGGTAAGAAATTATCTAATACATAAGTCGAACGACTATTACACTTACAGGTGAACAGACAAAAGGACATGACGAAACTATAAGGGTTCCTTGTCAGAGCTACGGAACCCCAAAATAGATGCAATCAATATTAGCAATTAAAATTAGACTAAACTTATCTTGTACAGTTACCTTTTATTTAAAATGTTTAATTGAATTGGGATGGTGTAGACTAATTAGTATAAAATGATAAATTCTTGACTAAATAGGTAAGTTGGCATGTAACCACACAGAATACATAATTGTAGCAAAACTACATAGGCGGAAACTGAGTAGGTGGCTAAGAAAGTTAAAATTAGGACAACTAAAACAACAAATTACAATTTAAAAGAAGGTTTTTAAAGTTAATAATAATTGTATGTTATTACAATTATCTGTAGCGAAAAAAGTAAGGATTCAATATTATAAAATTACATAAATTAAAGAGTTAATTGAAACGATACCATTTGTCCTTAGTACCTATTTATCCTTTATTAAGTTATCAAAATAGGTGAAATACATTTTACTATTCTAATAATTGTAGTTCTCCGCCGATTATACTCCAAGCAGAGCCACTTCTGCCGTTTTCCAAGATTTTCACTGCTGCTTTGGCCACATCTTCCTTCTCTTGACTTGGCATAGTACTTACTGCTTCCTGGAGTCCTTGTTCATTAAAGGCAAGTGCTTCATTAGATCTTATGTCCATAAGTATATCTGTATTTGTTATCCCTGGACAAATAACAAGAACTTTCACGCCAGTAACATTATAGTTTGTGGCGTGTCCTAGCGTCCTTGAAAAACCCATAACGGCGTATTTTGAAGCTTTGTAGAAAGGTGAAAGCTCATCGACTATATACCCATAAATTGACGAGACATTCAAAATGACACCCCCCTTACCACCTTTGTCCTTTCTCATGTTTTCTAAAAACTTCATGGACCATTCCACAGTTGCCACAGTATTAGTTTCGATAGTTTTCCTCAAAGAATGTTCATTAAAAACGCCTGCATTGTTCACTAGAATATCAATACTAGGACATTTGCTAACAATATCCTCGTAGATTTTGTCCAAATCTTTGGTGATATCACATTTAATGAACACAGCTTTTGCGTCCCCGTATTTTGAGTTAAGTGTTTTCGCTGTTTCAGTACCTTGATTCTCATTGAGATCAACAATGAAAACAATTTTAGCTCCTTGGTTGAGAAACTCTTCAGCTATTGCATAGCCAATACCTTTAGCACCTCCAGTTACGACTGCAATCTTATTCTTTATTTCAGCACTCATTGTAAGTAGGTACGTCTATTAGTATGTTATAGTAATAATGTACTGATTTATCATTTATTTTATTTTAACATTCGCGATTTACTTATCACTAGTTGATATAAGTATGTATAGTGGTAAACATTGTTATCGTTAAGTATTATCTTTTATTATTATGATAAGTTTGTCAATTTTTTGATACTGTGAATGGCTTAACATTGTTGTCAACTCAATTTACACTATCTCTTGTATTGGTTCACCATTAATGATACTCCACGCCGAACCACTTTGGGCAGTTTTGAATGCCTCGATTGCGGCTTTTGCGACGTCTTCTTTCTCTTGATATGACACTGTTGATATTACATTTCTGGTTACTTCTTCCAGAAAGTCCAACGCATATAATTTTCCTGCTGCGTGTATAGATGTCCTAGTCAATCCTGGGCAAAGTGCAAATACTCTTACTTTTGTTATTTCGTAGTTTTTGACATGTCCCAATGTCCTCGTGAAACCCATAACTGCAAATTTTGAAGTTTTGTAAAAGGGCACCACCGGATCAACAGTATAGCCATAAATGGAAGCTATGTTCAAAATAGTTCCACCATTTCCTCCTTTATCTTTTCTCATATGATTTAAAAACTTCATAGACCATTCAACCGTCGCAATAGTGTTCACATCTAATGTTCTTCTGATTGAGGTTTCGTCTACTATTCCAGCATTATTCACAAGGATATCTATAGTTTGGTATTTTTCCACGACTTTTTTGTAAATTTCGTCTAGGTCTCTAGTGACGTCCGCTTTGAAAAATATAGCTTTCCCATCACCATATTGTATGTTAAGTTTTTCCATCAGTTCGATGCCTTGACTTTCTTCTCTATCAACTATCACAACTGCTTTGGCACCATGGCATAAAAATTCTTCAACTATCGCAGATCCTATTCCTTTACTGCCTCCAGTTACAATAGCCACTTTATTTTTTATTTCCTTTTCCATTATTAAAAATATTTTATTTTATGCGACGTAGAAAGATATAGATTCAATGCAACACTAAACCATTTTGTGTGCATTATCTTATATAGTACCCACTAAGTATACTCGTTCACGCGTAATTTTATCGTTGAGTGATAAGATTTATTAAGCATTGTTACAATACTAAAAATAAGCTATTATTATAAATTATGAGATTTCTGGAAATTGATACTAATTTAAAGTAAGTTTTAAGTTTGCCATGTATAGCAATAATTGTATAGCATTGAAAAATAAATAAATAATAGCCCTTCCTAGAGGTACTTCTAATACATCTATATGAATAAGCAGTTTCTACAATTATTAAGATTAGTATAAAATAAATTGGTATTTAATAACTTGATCTCGTCACCTCATGAAAAAAAAATAAACGCCTCATCGAGAAATATATCAGACTAGCTTTCCGCCCGCGGCTTCCCACGCGTGAAATTTTGTTTGACACAGATCGTCATAAATTATAGCCTATATGTTATTCTGGATTATGAACAATAATACTGTAAAGTTTCATCAAAATCCGTTCAGTGGTTTTGAGCCTATTCATTACAAAAATACAAAAATAGGTACCAATCTTTCCTCTTTATAATATTAGTATAGATGAAAAGCGCGACCGTGCGAGATATTGCACAAAAATGTAGTGTAGTGTAGTAAATAATAAAACCTGACAGTAATGCTCTGAATTGGAACAATTTTAAAAGTATAACAAATAAGGAGAACTTTTCGAATCGAAAACGAATCTTATTTTTTTGGCTAGCAACTCCTTTCAACTTATCATAACGATCAGATACATACTTGATTGATGATGATTATAATCTTCACTTTGAAAACATTGATTGATTTATCAACTGATATGATAATTATGGTATTTTATTTTGTACACATTATTGGGAAAACCGGCAAAAATAAAAGAATAACGATAACTTACTTAGTTTCATAAATAAAAATATGATTACCTATCTTGAGTTAAATTATTTGTCGGACTGAAATCAAAAACACTGTCGTAAAATATAGGTTTATTTTAGATACCTAAAAGATTTTTATTTCTCGCCTACATCCAAATGAACAAACGCACTTATACTTCACTTTTCTTTTACTACTAATTTTTTGTAGCAAAATGAATCTCTCTTCAACCTAAACTAATTATTCATAAAACCGAATTCATTTATAATAAACATTCAGATAATATGAACTGATAAAAATACTTTCGCAATTTGAGTATTGGTGTAAACTTTGATCTCATAATGCAGTAACTACACGGACAAAATCTACGGGACTCCAAGTAACAAGAACCGCCGCTATTTACCAGTGCCACAAACCAAAACCTCAAAGACGGAGCCGTCGCAACAAAACCTGATACTTGAGCTTCAATTTGAACTTAAATAAGGGTGGTAAAGTTCGCAAAGACACCAGCAAACCCGACAAGTTGCAAGTTTCGAGCATTTAATAGGTACCAACCACTAGAGAGCGGGTGGAGCTCTTGTGGGAGCGGTAAGTGACTCTCTATTACTACACTATACTCAATAAGACTTATCTTATGATCGGGAAGGGTTTCAGGGTTAATTTTACCTTTGGGATAACATTTGGTAGAATTAGAAATATGACGATATAAATTCCATGACATGTCATAGAATCATTTTCAGTGTATCTTGCATGATTTAATTGGTGTATGTTACTGTAAAATCAAGCCTTTACGACATTTCGCTGCTCATGCAGTTTAACTGATGGTGTTGTTTAATCCGTATTGAATAACGCCTACAAAAATGTTCATAGTAGATTTTTGTCGCTGTAAGTGAGACTCTACGCCAACCCAAACCTCGAGTAGGCGTTGCTCGGAAGCAAATTGTTGACAACTCAAGATAATGATGTCGACCTCGGAACCCCTTTGATTGATTAACTACTGCATCCTGTGTCAATTTATCTTGTATAGTAAGCAAGAATAAGAGCGGTATCGCATGTCAATCTAGTCTTATGACATGCTTTGAATCAGAGGAAGGAAAATTGGAAGGAGTGTTTTGGGTGTTATTTAACTGTTCTAAAAATAAGTAGGTACACGCATTATAAAACAAGCCTACACACATAAGAAAATGCACTCTAGCGCAATCAATCGTAAACGAAAACGCAAACGACAAACGTCGAGAACGTTCCGTTTCGATGAATCTTTTTTAAACACATTAATCTAAGCTCCGAATATTCCTCCGGTAATTCCCGGATCGCTCCCAAATCTTAACGGGGAAATAATGATTTCGGGGACAGGAGACACGACGGCCCAATTCTCGAGATTGGACTCAGTCCCGGGGGATGAAAGACTTGGCCGCAATTTATCGGGAGAAGAATTGGAATGGCAGTCAAAAGGTGAAGAAAAATAATTATAACAGTTTTTACGATAACAACTTGTTCACTTCGGTCGTGCACGAGACACAGACGAAGTCACCGTGGGTGAAGATTGTGTGCTTGAAAGAGCTTTGAAGAGCGACACAAATATTAACCTGTGATTGGTTAACAAATCCAAAGATTGAGTGATACGTCAGGTTCAATCAAAGTTAGTTACCGAAAAGCCATAGAAATGTCTTTTGTGATGTAGTTGAATGTTCAAAAGCGACCGACTACCCGTAACTAGGTTAAGATGACAATATGAATATAAAATGTTGTAATAAGGTCGCGCTTTAAGAAAATACCTTGAGGTTTTTGAGGAGGCGGTTTTTTAAGCAAGCATTCTCTAATAGGTAGAGCATAGCATAGTATAGTACCTTAACTTCTACAGTCTGATTACTAGCTTCAATGTTACTAAAGCTAAGAATCTGCAAACAAAATGTGATTTGTGTCAAACGATATCAAGATACATGTCTGTCTTCGTTCCAAGGAATTGACAGCATAAAAATCAAGCAGCCGAACAAAAGAATATATTGCAGTACAATCCCGTTTGAATATTGACGATTTTATTACACGACGGGAATCGTAATAATGCTAGTCAGACCGAAAGACAAAGATATATCGCTACTGAATCAGATAATGTTCATAAGTACCTACATTCAGCTATCGTTGATGTTACTCGTAATTTATTTTTAGCAATATTTCTCAAGCATAAGACTTTGCCTTCGTAACTGATTAATCTATGCAAATTATGTTAGGAGAATTAAAAAAAATGCAAAACATCATTAATGCATTTTATCATTCTTTTATGTATTACAACTGGTCAAAACTTTACCTCGTGTTACGGTACACTTTATTGCAATAGAACATGACGTAGTATCCAAGCGAGCTAAGCTAAATGTAGAGGTCTTTTTGAATGTGAATTAACTTATAGACTGATAAATAAAAAAATCCTTGATAGTCTCAGTCTCGATACAAAGTATTAAGTAAGACTTTAATATACTCGTAACTTGGTGTGGCAGCTATTTCTATTTTAATTTGCGGCTTATCCAGACCAACTGGCTCTATGTAAGGCTGCCGTAGGGCTAATCATGCGAACGATTCGCTTCATTTGAGCACGAACTGGATGTGAGAATGTTGCGAGATGAAATTATATCACTGAGAAAATACAAATCACGATGAACATAGCAATTTAGCAGTAGTCAAAATTATACGTGATGAAGATTTTATTAGGGTACTAACACATAAATTCTACACTGAGTGAAGACTAAATGACGGTGACTGGTAATGATAAAAATAAATAATATAATACGAGCTAAAAACATGCGTGGTGCAACACAGCATGTTTTAATGCATTTGTGCAGGTCTAACACTTTGAAAGGTATTTAATAGGGAAATCGTATTAGAAAACATATTCTGAACTAGTACTTTGTCATCTTACGCCCCGTCACACTATTAAAATCATAAGAAAATGTCATGACAAGTTCACGCTACGCTACAAAACGCCAACGGCGACTGTGAGCCAAAAGCTTTAGTTAATAGCTTGTTAATTCACCGTTTGACGAGCTTTCGCACAACTTCTTGATATCAGCTTACTGGGTCAAAATATTGGCTTTAAAACTGGAGTTAGCTCGCTAAGACCCTCCCTGGAAAAATTTAAAGTTAAATTGCTTCAGAGTGAAGTTCGTACCTTGCCGAGTGAGTTGCAGGAGTTCACGTAGTGCACTTAGACAGGCCCAAGAGAGAACAGTATGTTTAGATATTAACAATTTATTACTTTATTCATACCTACTAAGTATTATGCCAATATACATATAAATCCCTTTAAACATGTTCTGTAAGACCACTTAGGCGTTGACTAGTTATTAGGCATTACTCGTATACTAATTGACTAGAATCAGTTAAAATTCTTAACTTACGAGTACAAATGCAGTAAACAATAAATACAATTCAGAGAACTTTTTAAAGCTTGTTTGTAAAGCTTTTTGTTTTGATAGACTCAAATGATAAGATGCTTTTAACGTATTGAAAAACTAAAACAAGGTAAAGTTGATTTATCTGTTGCCTTTGAGCTGCGTGTTTCACCTTTGACGTGTTTCTTATGCCTCTGAGTCGATCGTGGCTCTGAAGTTCAAATAGATTTGAGAGTCGTTATTAAACACAGAAATAATTATTAAGTGAAGTAGTTTGAATATTTCTTCTCTGTGTTTATTTTTCAGATCGAAATGTTGTTATTTAAGTGTTAAGAGTTAAGGATCAAGAGCTGCAAGGAAATCATTTCTTAATTAGATCATCCAATATATCACTAAGCACAGTTTAGCATACAAAAACTTGGGGCAGATTGCTCAGACGGCTATAAATTGTATCTTAATAAAGTGGAAACAAGCTTGGAATATAAATGACTCAAGCTTCCACTTGTTTTTAAATGTACCTACACAGTTTGATGACAATAATTTAATTTACATTATTCTATGATATTGGGGCAAAGTTCAGGTTTCGCGAAGCAGATGCAAATATGGCCCCGTGCTTGCTTTACATAAGTAGTTGTCTATTAATGTCTTCGTAAGTTAGTAGTTTCGTAACAAAAAAAAACCTAGTTAATCAAGCTTCATTGTGAATTAAGTTTCATAATATTAAACATGGCAGTACGAGAGTGCTAATGGTCTTTTATTTTTATAATCACTATTTTAACAAAAGAAGCTAAATGAGCCTGCTGTCTATGCCCCTTTAATACGTGTCATTCGAAGGTGACCACCAGTATCTAGACCTCCAGACGAGGCTCCCAATCTCGGAGCCATTCACATTCCACCGGCACTCTGGAATCTGCGGCAATATATCATTCCCACCGCACGTCGCTCGAAAATTTTCTCCTAAAACAGTCTGACTTTTGTGTTGGAGCTTTTTATTAAACTGAAAAGAAAATGCCGCGAACTTCGGCCACAATGACGGGGCTAAATGAATAATGAGTGACGTAAGCTCAATATTGAGACCTTATTTTTGGGGGACGAAACCTAACGAATATTGATAGCAGGAACAGTCCATAACACAATCCATTAACTTGGGTAATTTATTCTCCAGGAATACGGAATAAGGTTAGTACTAAGAGCAAGAGAACTTACTTTTTTAATTTATTACTTAATAAATAAGCAAGTGGTACACTAATCCACTATCCAATTGTCCAACTGTAGAGCCTTTAGGAATATAAATGATACACCCGTCAATGATGATGATGGTGACTATTGAACATAGGTACCTACTATTTAATGGGCTATTTTTGCTTGAAAACGCGACCTAAAAAACAACGCTGTTTTAATAAATAAGGCAATCATTAAAATAGTAAGACACGGGTCTTAACGCGACGTTTATTAATGAGTTACAGTATGTACTCACAGCTTGACGTTTCGGCTGCGATACTGCAGACTGGCGGCGATTTTAATTGAAATGGAACGCGAAAAATTAAAATGTTATAAGGCAATAATTTTTTAAAATTGCAATCGTAAAAACTAAAAATCTATTTACAACTAGCTGACCCGGCGAACTNAATATCATTGGGCCTCCCTCAATGTTTTCCATAGTGACCGATTGGTAGCTGCCTGCATCCAGCGCCTTCTTGCTACCTTTATAATAATATTCAGTATTAATTATGTAATGAATGTTTTTAATTTTACGAATTAATTGCAGTGGCTGCCTGAATCTGCGAGATTCCACGTGGCGAGTGGACAACCTGACAAGGCGTTAGAAACGTTAGAACAGGTAATGTGAAGCTTTTTAGTAATACTGTTCAGTTGATTTTCGCTCCTCAAGGTCTAAAACTAGGTTGTTCATAGTTGGTTATCTCTACATTCGACGTAATCTTACCTATTTCAATATTAGCAGAGGAGAAGCGAATGCGATAAGTGTTCTTTTGTTTCGTTATCATGGCTTGACCAGTAACTGTCGCGTGCGGGTAATCAAAATAAGTGAAACCAATGAAGGCTATCATTTTAGCGCTCAGCAGCTAATGGCAGTAGAGTACCTGAGATCCTGTCACTTACTAAAGCCTGGTCCGTGAGCACGTAGAATTTTGTCCAATGACCCCAAGCTACCAATCCTTATCGCTCGCGCGTAATTATGTTGCTTTCGCACTCGCACACTCACTGCGGGCGCCCGTCGCACAGTCGCGACAGCAATATAATTACGCACGAGCGATAAGGATGGGTAGCTTGGGGTCATTGGACAAAATTCTACGTGCTCACGGACCAGGCTTTAGTGCCTAAAACGTAAGCGTAGGACTATCGCATTTGCACTCACCAGGATGGCGGCACTGTAGGTAGAGTAAGGTAATATCACTCACCAGTGGTGCCAACTGTAAAGAAAAAAGTCAAAGCCGCTCAAAGACTGACCGCCTCGTGATCCGAGGAACGCTTGTTCGAACCCCGCGAAAGCTCGACTATTGTGGTGAGCCCACTCGTAACAAAGCATATTATGTAGCTTACCACTAGGGATTAACGGGAGTAATTTGTATTTACAAATAACTAATATCTAACTCAAAAGTGACTGACTGACATAGTGATCAATCAACGCACAGCCCAAACCACTAAAAGGATCGGGCTGTGGCATGCAGGTAGATGTTATGACGTAGGCATCCACTAAGAAAGGTTGTTTCGAAACTCCACCCCTAAGGTAAAACGGGATCCACGCGTACGAAAGTCGCGGGCGGCCGCTTGTTCTTTAAATAAAAACAGTCATACCTTTCGCAGATAGCCCAAGACAACGGTCGTCCAATGCTGCTGGGTCGCCTGGTGTGCGACGACTCCGTGGGCATCGGGCAGCGCGGCCGCCTCAAGCACCTCCTCATACCGCATCTGCGGAACACCAGCTTGTTGCTGTGGTTTATTTGGTAAGGGCACTAATGGTTAAAGACTGTGGCTTTGTGAATTTCAATTAAGTATGCTCTTTATTTGGTAAGAGTTAAAATTCGAACTCGAGAAAAACTTGTATAAAACTGGTGAGGAAAAATGCTACTTAAACTAACTACAAACACATTTACTTTAAAAAATCCTCACCGTTCGTTCGTTTCAGCCAAATGATGTCCACTGCTGGACAAAGAACAAAGGTTTTCCACAATGAACGGAGGACCAAAACCTTGGTTGATGCGGGCAGTGCAGGAGCACCGCGACCTTTTTCCTTATCGTCGGTCTCGGATCCCTTAAAACGTTTTGTGTTTAACAATCTGGCTGTTGTTCAACAAATTACTGACTGACAGATTGAATCAGTTTTCTATGACATAACACATTAAGATCTTAACATCTCGATTCTCAGGATGTCGTGTGCGTTTTGCTACTATGGACTGGTGCTAATGACTACGGAACTCTTCGAGACTGACGCAGATGCCTCAGACGAAACTTGTGCTGCCAACTGTCGCCCACTGCAGACCACAGACTATATGGACCTGTTATGGACCACGCTTGCTGAGTTCCCTGGTGAGAACTGCTACGATTCTTTTGTTTTTCTTTCATCATGTGGGTTCTAGTAGGCCTGTTGATCTTCCCGAGTAGGCATCGAAAACAAAAGCTCCTCAAGGAATTCACGAGCGAGCAGTCACCTAGCACTGAATAGGTTTAGTGTACATATTTTAAATCGTTTTCTCGAGTTATAACAGCGAAATTCGCTTGCAATATTTTTTTCTAGTGTGTAAACGAAACGGCGCTCGACTCTGAGGCAAGCTAAATTGCACCATATTGTTGATGATATTGAGTAGACATAATTTGTAATTGTTTTCCTAAATTGATTTCGAACTGTTTTTGAAGATATCGTCCTGCATGTTGGAGATCAAAGATTCGAACCCCTATAATTTTAAACAGGTGATAATCTCTCACTAGCACCCATATTTGCTACAAGCGTTGGACTCTATGCATTACTGTCTAAAATTTATTTCCAGGTATTTTTGCTACGATCTTCATAATCGAAAAGTTTGGACGGAAGAAGACAATGGCAGCACAGTTCGTGATATTCGCCATGTGTGTTTGTGTGCTGATCTACAATGGAAAGTAAGTAAATCAAACAAATACTAATATAAATAAATAACAATAATATTTTTGCACGAATAAATCTTCGTTATTGTAATGAACGAAAAAGAACTTTTATTATATTTCATTCCTCCATTCATCTATCACACAGGGATTACCCCAGTTTAGACACCAGTCTCTCGAAAAGGTTCTGTATTTATAAAATTTCACAAATTGTATCCATAGTTCTTCTTTATTACCTTTGTGAAGAGAAAATAAACATTTATTTATTATTCCAAAAGCAATTAGTTTTTAGAAAAAACCTTTTATTTAGTGTCTTATATTTTGTATTCACAGTCGTACATTCCTGACTTGCGTTCTGTTCGTCGCGCGAGGCATCATCGCCGGTTTATTCCAAGCGGCTTACGTCTACACCCCTGAGGTAAGAAACGTCATGTATAATCAGCGTCAAATAGTTCGTTCGTGACACCCAAAGTGGCCAAAAAGTTATTGTAACAAAATACGTGTTGCGAGCTTTAGGTGACATGAACTATTTGATGCTGACTCTACAACAGCTGCTTTTTTAATGTAACACTTATCACAACAGCTTAGGATATCATAGTATTTAATTTGATATACCGTGGGTGAATGATTCAACTGTGCAAAGATTGTGAAATCCACAAGGTAAACAATAATTAAATCTAGAGGAATAATACAAGTCAACATGTTGACTCATGACTGGGTCATAGATAAAAATCTATAGCCTCGATGTAATGTGACCTAGAATTTGATTTGCCTACCCACGTACAGACATAATACCAATACATTTTTGTTGCAAAATATCACAAACTACATAAGATGTAACTGTGTTTACCTTGTGTGCTGTTGTCTGTGCATTAGTAAAATTCAATTTCAAGTTGCGTAAAAGAATTAAACCTACTTATTATTTTTCTTAACAAACAACCATGAACTTGATCTTAAATGTTTTATTGTGGATTTCCCTTACAACTAATCAATCAATTATGATACCATTTATCAGCTGTCACATTCCATCATAAAATACCTAGATAGATGAAAGCATCATCGCATTGAAATCAATGAAATCATATTTTGTTACGGTAATTATTATTTATTAGATAGGCATCAGACAGCGCCTATCAAACACGGTTCAGTCAAGCATTTTAACCGCCTCTGTGGTCTAGTGGTAAGACCACCTGCTTCAAACGCAGAGGTCCCGGGTTCGATTCCCAGTGGGGGCAGATTTTTCTGTTCGGTTTGGTTGGTGGTAGGGCTTGTTCCAAGTCCGCCTGGCTAGCTACCACCATCTTACCTAAGTCTGTCGCCAATGTTACAACAGCATTGTTGTGTTCCGGCAGTTAGAGGTTAGACAGCCAGTTCCTCCGTGGTTGAGGATTCCGGGTGAAGCTCGCTTCCACCGGCCTGATCGTCACTTACCATCAGGTGAGATACAGGCCAAGAGCTTCCTCGTTGTGGATAAAAAAAAACCTTCGGCCATGTATCTCGCCGCAGCTTAATGACTCCATAAAGCGCCTTGTAGTGCAGGGAAAAGTTGAGAGCACCAAACCACGTGGTAGATCACCAATGAGATGGACGGACCAGATCAAGGTGTTCCTAAGTGTTCGGTTAACAAAAGTGCCCGGAAAGCTGCAGTCAGCGTGGAATGGCGCCGTATTGCGATGAACATCACTCATCGTGATTCACAATGATGACCACGACCACTCTGACAAGAGTGTACCGACTGAGAAGAAGAACAATTATTTATTACATCAATTTATCAGTTTGGATTGATTTCTTTGTATTTGATAAACAGTCGCGTGTTACTCAGCTCTCATCTCATTTAACATGTATTCATGATTGATTGACAATACGGACGGTCATTTATTTCTTAGCTTATTGATTTAGGCTGAGTTTTACCACCTTACTTTTACCGAAACTATAACGAACCGGTCTTTTTTGTATGGAGTTTGACAGATTTTTGACGTTTGTTAAAGTTATAGTAAGGCGGTTATCACACTGCGCCGCGCTCCGCCGCGGAGCGCGTGATTCCATATAAAAAATCCCGCGCGCAGACGCATTGTCAGTGTGTTGTGCCGCGCGTGTTTTCTACACAAACTGAGGTACTTGCATACAATGATTAAATATGTCGTCCCGCGTACCGCGGCGGAGCGCGGCGCAGTGTGATAACCGCCTAAGATGGTGCAACCCAGCGTAAATGTATTCACGTTGATTGATTAACAATAATCTTGTGATTAGGTCTACCCCACCGCGCTGCGTTCTACGGCGGTGGGAGCCTGCAGCGGGGTGGCGCGTCTCGGCGCCATGATAACGCCTTACGTGGCACAGGTAAATTAAAACATTCCTTTTTGACAACTCTTTATCTCGACTGATATTTGAAGGCATGCGAAATGCGATGCGGCAGGACGATTACGTTCTATTAGGCTATAAAATGCTACTCCGACAAACGTTACTCCGACACTACTGAATATCGACATGACTTTACTTCGACACTACACTACTTAGACAAAGGCGAATATCCTTTGTCGAAATAGTGTAGTGTCGAAATAAAGTTATGTCGATATTCAGAAGTGTCGGAGTAACGTAATGTTGAAGTAACGTTTGTCGGAGTTTACTTAGGTAGCCGTTCTATTACTCAAGTTAAATAGCGACTACGAGCCGGAAGACGTAGTGTATTCAGACCTCCCACTTGGTGGACTGATGATATTGTGAAGGTCGCGGGAAGTACCTAGATGCGGGCTGCGCAGGACCGTTCGTTGTGGAAATCGTTATGGGAGGCCTTTGTCCAGTAGTAGACGGTATTTGACTGAAACGACGAACGACTCAAGTTAAATACCTTTCTACTTAATAAAAGAAGGGTAAAAATCGATGAGATTAGTGCCAAGACGGCCAAACAAAGGAAAGAGCCGTCATGGGCACCTGGCAGTATTTCATATTTTATTTATTGTATCGATATGATACAACCCGTTTCGTGATCAATAAATACAGCAGCCTATAAATAATTCCCACGTTATTTCCAGGTGTTGCTCAAGAACTCCATAGTCATAGCGACCGGTGTATACTCGTTGGCAGCCATACTGGCCGCTATAGCCTGCCTTGCGCTGCCCATCGAGACTAAAGGCCGGGAGATGCGGGACTCGGTAACAGCGACCGGATAGTGACGTCACACGAATGTTCTATGCTTGAATCTCATTTATCGTCTTTATTTATTGGAATCGCTGCTGAATGTAGGTTTTTATATTGACGTCTTTAAGACTGATGTGAATCATAAGAGCGTCAAGCAACAGTGAAGTAAAGGGACGCATGTACGATGGTACGTTAACCTGCAATATATTTATAAAACTATTATTATTATCGACGCGGCGCGTAGACATGGATACTTACCATGTCCGAAAAATAAGCTTAGGCAGACGGACCAATTTATAGTATCTGAAATAAAATCGTTTATAGCTACGCTTTTAAGATTTCGCTTCCTAGTAAGCACGCTTGAAAATTCGGTGACATGACCCGAGCACGCATGACTAAAGGTTCGGCCTAACCAATGCGTTCAGCCTACGTGCACGATGGCGATCAGTCGTGTAGGAATTTGTAGCGATTAGTTCACATCGACGCGTCCTGCCATTGGTCGCGGCGATCTAGGCGCAGTGATCACCATCGCTGACGCGAACTGCACGCGTTGATTTGGCCGAAGCTTTACGATTTTCATATAGTATACGCTATATTATTCGGGTGTCTACGCGCGGTCTCAAACAAACGTCACGCGCTACATTGAAACGCACGCACGTCAAACAACAAAACTGTAGCTGATCAAACTAACTCAGTATTAATGTAATCTCACTGCTTTTTAATAAAGACTGCATTTTACGCATTTATAGCATCGTATAATAATGTGTAAGTAGGATTTAAGTTATTTTATAAATAAGCAACTACCTACTTAATAATGACGTATAAATTAAGTATACAAGATGAGTTTTTGGGTAGGTAAGTGTGGGAAAATTCTGAGCAATTTAATTAGAAATACCTAAATTATCTTTATGTTCTTTAGTACATTAATTTTATACAGGCTGTAAGGAATGGATTTGAATAAACCTGCTTGGGAATAAGTAATAGGAATGTAAAAAGGAAAAAAACCGGCCAAGTNGGCGTAGTACAATTTTTTTTCAGTACAGTCCGTTTAAACTAGGCAAAATTTTTATTTCGATATTTTTTTTTGGGAATAATGTATTTTTTTCATCCAAGTTGGAGCAGCTGGTTTTGTAATTTTGATAACAATTTAGAGAAGCATTATTCAGGGTTATATAACAAAAAAAATTCGGAAAAAGTGAAGATTTGTGGCAACACGAGTAAAAGGACCGTCACCTGGAGAAGAATTTTTTTATTTTTTTTAAATGCCTATTATTTTTAAAATATGCCACATAGATTTTTTTATATTTTTCTGATAACCAGCACAACTTGCCTCAACACCCAGTTCCGGCTTGACGTTACATTACGGGACACCCTGTATATAGACTAGCTGACCCGGCGAACTTTGTTCCGCCTTAATGGCAGACTTTTTTTTATTTCGAACGGGATAAAAAGTATCCTATGTCCTTCTCCCGGCTCTAAACTACCTCTTTGACAATTTTCAGCTAAATCGGTTCAGCCGTTCTTGAGTTATAAGTGGAGTAACTAACACGACTTTCTTTTATTATATAGATAGATATTAATAAAAATAGAATTAGTTCAGGCAGTAAACCAAAATCCAAGGTGATACAATTTAAAAACGCTCCCCTCCGAGTGATTTAAGGCGGCTGCACGTTCGACGGAGACGTATCTCGATCGGATCGGTGTCGCGCGGCATATTTCCGTGGGCGGAATATCCAAGATTGATGTCCGCCCTGACGGATCGGAGACAGTTTTGTCTTGAAGGACGCTTTTATACGCCCCCAGGGTTCCGTAGGCGAAATGATCTTGGTCTATTATTTTAATAAACGTGAGATTGACATCATTATGATACTAGTATTTTTCGCTGTCCTTTGACTAAAAGTCAACTCCTACTAATTCCTACTAATATTATAAATACAAAAGTTTGTATGGATGTTGATGGATGTTAACAATTAACGTGTTTGTTACTCTTTCACGCAAAAACCACTGAACGGATTTTGATGAAACTTTACAGTATTATTGTTTATACATCAGAATAACATAATTATGGGCTTATAATTTAAAATCTGTGACAAATTTAATTTCACGCCGGCTAGTTACATGATAAACATTAGATTTACCTATATCAGGATATTTTTTTGAGATTGCTCACTTTATGCTTTAAAAACAAATTTTTACAATATTTCAAACCTAAACCAGTTCCAGGTAATTCTGTGGAATCCCAAAGGAATTTATGATCATGGATAATGCAAAATGCTAACTAATCCGGCCACATGCTGCGCGTAATTTTATTACAGTTCCAGAGTTGTAATTGTGATATTTTCAGGTTTTTCAGGTAAGAACTTGCATTTATTTACTTTTTATTTGGAACGTGATGTTTAAAATCTTATAAAAAAGTCCGATACAATTTTGATATTATCAGTAGGCTACTTAAGCAAATATTAGCATAGACATCATAGACATGGATCACTTACATTAAATTTTCTGAATAGTATCTAAGAATCTACGAACATGAAGAAATGGGTTACATAATGGACAGGTATCACTGAATTTACTGCAATGTACAATACGTCACACGTACACTTTATACACGTGTAGGTATCTGTACAGTGACATACACGACTTCATTGCATATTCCAAAAGCAGCATATTTATTGTACGTCATAAAGTGAACTGGATGCTGAATAGCTGCCGTTCGATTCGGAGTAAAGCGGTACAGACGTGCGCATATGTGGTTATTTAATGATAGTAAAAAATACAAAACAAAATCTGTGACGTATCAGGCCTTATTAGTGCCTTAGTTTTAAGGTGCTGAGCAATTTGTTTAAAAATCTACCCATGTTAGAGTATCAAAGATGTAACAGCATAATGAAAATGATGCATCGAAGAATGCTTGAAGCGTTTTTTTTTTACCACAAACACATAAATGCTTAGGCTGAGTTGCACCACCTAACTTTGACGGTAACTATGACGATAACCGGTGCTTTTTGTATGGAGTTTGATAGATTTTTGACGTTTGTCAAAGTTAACCCTTTAACTGGTATAGAGAAAAATATTTTTCATTAGTTTTGTACCTTATGATTTCTCAATAAGATTCAAAATATGGTGGCAACAATTCTGCCACTACCAGGTAAAGGTTTAAAGTAAGATGGTGCAACCCATTTCACTATCAACTACTTATAAACTCTCAAACTAGCATAGTAAGACACGGGTCTTAATAGGAACGCGAAAGTTTAAAACCTTATATCTCAAACTAGCACTTTATGCACAAACTTGAAACCATTTTGCCGGCGTCTGTACAAAATATCAAATCAAGTCAAACGCTGTACCAAACGTGTAGTTGTAAAGCCGTGGCACAAACGGCACAAAGTCAGCCTGCGCGGCTCAAAGCTCTAACGGTTAATGCAAGCCGGAAAGAAACATCAGGCGCTTTGGAGACACTCGTGTTGAAAAGGCTCTATAGATTTAGTTCTTGTCAAACGCAGCCTCGAGATTCTAACGTAGCTTTCGCTATTATTTACTACTTACTCCCATTTGAATTCAACTGCAATAATAAAAAGAAATAGTTATTCATTTTGAAGTCATCTTAGGGAGCTAATGTGATATTGAAAAACTTACACAAGCGAGAAACTTCCTATCCTATTTGTTTGTACTTTTATGAATCTTGTTATTAAGAAAACTCTTTTTAAACAAGGTAAAATATTAATAAAAAAGGGTTTGTTAGCTATGTACAGCTTTTTAGCTGTAGAGAAAGTGGTACTCTAGATCTATCTCTATAGGTATTGGATGGACAATGTTTTTCAACCAACTTCAAAAAAGGAGGAGGTTCTCAATTCGACCCGTATGTTTTTTTTTCTATGTTTGTTACGCGATAACTCCGCCAATTATGAACCGATTTGAATAAATCTTTTTTCGGCGTATAGGTAATACCTCAAGGGTGGTCCCATTTAAATTTAATAATAGAAAAAACAACCCCCAAGGGTGGAAAATTGGGGATGAACTTTTTCATACGCAATATCTCCGCCGATTATAAATCAATTTGAACGATTATTTTTTTGTTGAATAGGTATTATCAAAAAGGGTAGTTTCATGCGAATTTGAAGAAAATATTTCACCCCCAAGGGTGGAAAATTGGGGATGAACTTTTTTATACGCAATATTTTTAATTTTTAGCTTTTTTTTTGTGTTCACGCATTTGAAGTCGGTTTTATTTTTTTAAAAAGTTATTCAAAGCGCGTTTCTGAAAAAAACAATAATAACCGAGCGGTACATTCGGTATTCTGTTGTGAAACTGTTTTTGCTGCACGTTACCAATATTGGACGTTTGTTATTTTTATATTGTTGTGTGCAGAATATACTTAAATTAATGTACAATTCATTATGAGCTTCGATTTTTGAACTTTTGACTCTCAATAGAGAAATGAGGAGCATTGCATTTTCAAAAAACCAATCCTGTGCTAATTTATGTTAATAAAATATATCTTTTGTATGATTTTGAATCAAATCATAAAAAAATCGTTGAAATTGTTTGATCTTCCCATACATGTTGTAAACAAACTACGCGACACAGCTATTGTAATACCAAATAGGGGTGATAAGACACATTGTTCCCGCTAATAAAACATTTCGGGGTGATTTATGTCCAATCTAGGCTGCGATAGAGTTTATTTATTTTATGGCCGCCCAGAAGGGCTCTCGACCGGATATGGGCTGGGGCAAGTTGCGGGTTTGGGCGGTAATAGCTAATTACGGACCTTTTTGTCCGTGTGCTGTAAGGAGGGTAATGTTTTTTGATTATGCCTTTGAATAATCATTTATTAAATTATGAAGCTCAATGCTTGCTCTTTTGCAAAATACGTTTACTTTTTTCAATTTTGAATAGGTATTCGAAACATCTAGATTGAAAGGCTTTTAAAAATGAGTTTTTGGGAATACATCGTGTTTATTTTTTAGTAAGGCGACAAAATATGAGTCTCTTAACAGAATGGTCAAAAGTTTAACCGCTTCAGCCTGTGAACATTAGGTAGTGTGCTAACTCGTCGCGCGGGGGTCATCCCGAGCATTGTTCCTGTCCAAAACATATTACTTTCATACGCTTATTGGGAAATGTCGTCCCGCAGCGCTCGCCGTGTGTAATCCGCTTTACATATTATGTGCGAGGGCTTAACGCATCGGAAAACTGCCGATTGGATGGCGAAGCACTGATGGTTCGCAAGAACTACGCGATTTGTGCTAATGGTGGACTGTCACAAAGTTGTGATTGTATGACATTAATTTTGCTGAAAGATTGTAGTCTATTCCATCAGTAAAATTACGAAATTCCCTTTTCCTACCAGAGCATTGTTATTTTTACTAGTATCTGCCTGCGTGGATTTCCGTCGATAGGTCACGATGTAGAATATTTTATGTGAAAAACCGAATCTGTGGAAGTGAATTTCAATTCAACAACAATAAAACATTTCTGCTATCGCAAATTGCAGCACCTATTTCCTACAATAATAAAGCCTTTTAAATCTAAATTTACACACGCATGCATGACACTAAGACTACCAGTGGACTCATTTTTGAATTTGATTTGAAATCTTTATTATGTATTTTCATCATAATCATTATCTATGTTCTAAATACAGTCGTGGTCAACTAATTAGGGACGTTATATGACTAAAACACAAGACCGTCTCTCCAGTCCCAAAAAAAAATCTTCACGAGGCTTTGTAGCTTGTGCCTATTAATAACAAGTAATTTGGCTAGTATTCTAAATATTTAAAGGCCAGAAAAGAAACTAGCTAGTTGCGATCAATATTTTTAAAATAAATAAATCATTGCCACCTACACATTTATTGACCTAGGGATGGACAGCTAATTAGGGACACGTAACACTTTCACTGTAAATGTAAATAAATTGGAAATTATTTAAGTGTTTATTACATAAAAAGTTTTCATTAATAAATATAGAATACAAAACAAAATCATCAAACG